GCCTCGCCTGCCCAGGCAGGTCTCGAACCCGCGGGCTCAGGCAATCCACTCACCTCAGCCTCCCAAAGGTGCAGGATTACAGGCTGAGCCACCGAGCCTGGCTCTGGATGATTTTTTAAAAAATGTTTTATACTTTTATGAATTTTCTAAATGTTTGCAATCCTGTATATTTCTATATTACCTTTACATTCATGGGAAAACCTTTAATGAATAAAAACAATAATCTTGTTGTAAACAGAAGAATCCTCAACTGTAGAGAAGGTTGTGACTCCAGATGGGAGCAGTTCCTATTGCTGGTTGTAACAGCAGAGAAGAATTTAAACTCTGGCTAGGACTGGCTGGCCTTTAACTTTCCTTCCAGTCCTGGGATTCCGTGAGCCAATTGTTTTTGGAAAAAGACTATCCCAATTGTCCATGAATAAAAGAAGCTAACATTTTCTGATCCCCTCACTGTCACTTTAGAGCAACAAACATTTGTCAGGCACTTGCTAGAAATTCTGACACCTACTGTGTTGTTGAACGTTCAGTCTACAAATAGTCATTACAGGGAACAAAATACACAAAAATTTCTCCCCTGAGTGAGCTTACATTTTAGTAGGAGAGCCAAACAAATAAACAAGAAATTGTACCACACAATGTAATATGTTATGGGTGATAAAGGCTATGGAGAAAAATTAAGCAGAGAGAGGGCATAAGGAGTAAAAAAGTTTCAAATAGCATAGTTAAGGAGGTTTCACTGAGGTGATTTTTTTTTTTTTTTTTTTTTTTTTGAGTCAGGGTCTTGCTCTGTCCCAAGCTAGAGGGCAGTGGTACAGTCAGTCATAGCTCACCGCAGCCACAATCTCCTGGGCTCAAGGGATCTTCTCACCTCAGCCTCTCAAGTAGCTAGGACCACAGGTAAGTGCCACCACTCCCAGGGTCTAACTATGTTGCCAGGCTGGTCTCAAACCCCTGGCCTCAAGCAGTCCTCCCGCTTCACAAAGTGCTGGGATTACAGGCATGAGCCACCACACCTAGCCTGAGGTGAAATTTCAGTAAAGACACTTGGAGATGGGGGAGAGCCCTGGGAACATTTGGAAATGGAGGGTTCTAGGAAGAGGGACCAGCAAGTGCAAAGGCCCTGAGGCAGGAATTTGCACCCTTATTTTCCAAACCGACTTCTTTTTTTTTTTTTTAAGTTGGAGTCTCACTCTGTCACCCAGACTGGAGTGCAGTGACTGCTCCCAGCCACTGCAGCCTCGACCTGCTGGGCTCTGGTGATCCTTCAGCGTCAGCCTTCCAAGTAGCCAGAACTACAGGCACGCACTACCACGCCCAGCTAATTTTTGATTTTATTTTAGAGATGAGGTCTCGCCAAGTTGCCCAGGTGGGTTTTGAACCCGCGGGCGCAGGCAATCCACTCACGTCAGCCTCCCAAAGTGCTGGGATTACAGGCTCCAAACCAACTTCTTAAGGGTTATTATTAAACTCACTATTTTACACAAAGAGGAAACAGGCTCAGAGCAATCTTCTCCATGACTTCAAACATGACAGAACCAGGAATTAAATTTGGATTCCAGAGAGCAGCCCTTCCTCAAGGCACAACCTTCCGACCTAGATTGAAAAACCAGCTACATAAGGAGTGATTCAGCTTTCAAGGGTAGTTCAAGGTTGATTAGTGAAATCTTTTTTTTAAAACAGTGGCACTCCTTCCCCGGATTGACAATCTTCCCTGCATGTTGTTTTTCTTTTTTCAAATATTATTCATTTCCCTTTCCCTTCCTCTCTCTCTGCCCTCCCTCCCTCCTTTCTACCCTTTTGTACGTTATCTAGTTAACGAAAAGTCATCACCCATCTGCCTCCTTACTGTTCATGGCAGTGAGGGATGGATGCTAAGGAAGACTAAGACTTAGTATTTTTCAGCCGGGCGTGGTGGCTCACGCCTGTAATCCCAGCACATTAGGAGACTGAGGCAAGAGGATTGAGCCCATGGGTTCAAGACCAGCCTGGGCAACATGGCAAGACCTTGTCTCTACAATAAATTTAAAAATTAGCTGGGGTGGTGGTGTGTGCCTGTACTTCCAGCTACTTGGAAGGCTGAGGTGGAAGGACCATCTGCGCCCAGCCGGTCAAGGCTGTGGTGGCCGTGAGCGTGCCACTGCACTCCAGCCTGGGTGACAGTGAGACTCCTACTTAAAAAAAAAAAAAAAAAGACTTAGTATTTTTCCCTAAAGGGAATTAAAAGCAATAGTGCACTGAATGCTTTAGAGATGGTTTAGCACCAAACTGACTTTAGCATTGCCAAGAGAAGAAGCCGTCTAAAAGAAAACCACCACAGTGAGTCAGGGGGCCGCATGTGCTCCACCAGAACACTGGACTGGGAAAGGGAGGAGTGTGAGAAAAGCATGTTGTCATGGGTGGGAATTTGGGGAGCCTTTAGGAAATGAGACGCTGTGGGCATTCGTGATAAACAGGAAATAGAGAGTGGTAGGCTATGCCCAAAGACCTTTCAGTCTATGTTTAAAATAAATACATAAATACACTGCTTGCTGTAGTTCTGCTTAAGTGATTTAAGTGAAAACTTAGCAGCTGAGCACTTTTCCTGCAGTGACAAAAGTAAAGTGATTCCTAGTCCTCAGAAAAGCAACTTGCTAAACGCTTATTTATATACCAGGAAATAAAACAGGAAATGTTTCAACTCATTGCTTGATGAAAACAATCTGAAATTAGGATCCAAAACAAAAAATGACCTCATCAGTGACACAAAGTACCCTCAGCCAAAGGGGTCTCAAAATATTTCCCTGCCAGAGTCTTGGTATTGCTATAGCCCAGCGAGTGCAGTGTCCTCATAGAGTGTTGATTTCCCTTGTCCAAAACTTGTCCCAACTGTGCGGGATCAGTGTGGGTTGGCTGATAACGTGGGTTGTTGTGGGGTTTTTTAAACTTTTACATTTTAATTATAGATCACTTTTTTTTTGGTCTACGGATAACCAAATGCTCCAGTACCATTTGTTCAAAGACCATCCTTCCTTCCTTGAATTGCTGTTGCACCTTTATCAAAAGTCAGTCCTTGAGGACATTGTGCTAAGTGAAATAGTCACTAAAACGCCAGTACTGTATGATGCCACTTATTTGAGGTACCTAGAATAGTCAAATTAATAGAGACAGTGGGGTGGTGGTTGCTGACTCATGCCTGTAATCCTACCTACTCAAGAGACTAAGGGGGACAGCCACCTTGAGCCCAGGAGTTCGAGGCTGCAGTGAGCTATCATCACGCCACTGCACTCTCGTCTGGGTGACAGAGTGAGACCCTATCTCTAAAAATACAAAAAATGGGGAGTTATTGTTTAATAGGCACAGAGTTGCAGGGTAGGAAGATAAAAAAAAGTTCTGGAGATGAATGGTAATAATAGTTGTGAATGGACTTAGCACCACCGTACTGTAGACTTAAAAATGGCTAAAATGACTTAGCCTGTAATCCCAGCACTTTAGGAAGCTGAGGTAAGTGGATTGCCTGAGCCGGGGCAGCCCCAGCAACTTGGGGAGACCTTGTCTCTACAATAAAATTTAAAAATAGCCGGGCATGGTAGCACGTGTCTGTAGTTCCAGCTACTCGGAAGGCTGAGGTGGAAGGATCGCCGGAGCCTAGCAGGTCTACGCTGG